GCGTGGTTCTAATTATTAGCTCGACTGTACTTCACGGACTGTGAGAGAATCGGAGAGGGTCGTATAAGAGTTGTTTCTACCCTCGGTGTTAACGCGATATACCCTCTAGGTTCCAGGCAGAGCCTACGTTGACAGAGATAGAGATATAAAGAGATAACGGGGAGAAAGAGAGAGAGAGAGAGAGAGAGAGAGAGAGAGAGAGAGAGGGAGACGTATATGTGCAAACGCGCATGTGGATATGCAAAGTCTCGGCTCTCCTAGTTTCATCTACACTACGCTTCTGTTTAGACTTGCCTATCTCTCTCCCACTTAGTGCCTCTTTGCTTCCATACATATGCATCCAAATGATTTACTGTCCTTTACACGCGACACTATTTAACTCTATCTCTCTCTCTCTCTCTCTTTGCTTTTACTCTCAGAATTCTCTACCAAAGCCCATCAGGCAAGTGTCGTAGATTCCACTGTTAAAAGGCACTCTTCACATATTTATTGAGCCTGAAGTAACCTTAAAATTAGTTAACTATTTTAGATCTAAAAGTAACTCAGTGTATATTCGTATTCCTTTCTCTCTCTCTCTTTTTCTCTTATAGATAGAGTTTTTGAAGTAATAATATTAAGTATTTTCTAATGTAAGCAATTTATTATATATGAAAATGTATTAAAAGAAAAGGAAAAATTTGTTGTATCATTTTCGATCAATTTCTCGAGAACCGTAGGAGGTTTATTGCAAAGCCACAGAGCTAACGATTCCATTTGCGATAAGCAGGCTGTCGCTTTGGTCCAGGTTTCGGTTAGCTATCTCTGTTCGAACGATGCTTCGATTTCTCATGTTCGACGCTGACTGAGAACTTTCTCTCCCTTCCGGGTATTGTCCTATCGAACTTCGACCGGATCATACGAACAGGCGGAAACATGCTGGAAAAGCGCTAGGACCACCGTGCACTCTATCGTCTAGTCAACTGGAAACCGATAACGTCTTCGAATCGATCGTTTCGATTCTGACAAGAGCTTTATGATTTTTAATAAAATATCAGAAAGAAGACGAATCTGCAACAAACGGATTATCTAAACTTTCATTTTGTTTTCTTTTTTTCGGCTTCGAACCCCTATATAATCGTAAAATAATTATTTTATTAGAAATTTTCTATACTTTCGAATAGAAAACAAATTTAAACAATTAACTTTTCAAAGCAGAGGAAAAATTATTAATATCGATCATTCTTATCGAAAGATTTGTTTCTTAATAAAGATCTTGTAATAAAATTTGGTTTTCTTTCTATTCTATTTCTTTTCTCGGAAGAGTGAGCGTTTTTTTTTAATTTCTTCAGCCTTATGAGGTAAGATCACGCTCGCGTTAAGACGTTCTTGTGATAAGACGATCTCGCGTCGGAAAAATATGATAGACGCGAACACTCACGTTAGAAATGGTTTTACTACGCCTAAGGCAGCTATGATCGATGACGCCACACCGTTTTCGTTCGACGATATTTATTTCTATTCATTTTAAGTCATATAATCTTATGACATGTATACTTACTACATGAAAGTAAAATAAAGAGGACAAGGAAGAAGAAAGAAAAGAAATGTATATATTACGAAAATATATTCAGACAGAGGCTCTCAAATTTCGTTAGATCGCACCTTCAATTAATATTCAACGTTTATATAGCCTACAAATTTATTTGTTTTAATATCGATTTTATTATAATATCGTACATAATTATTAAAACATTTGAGAAGGAAGTAAAAGAAAAAGAAAAGACAATTCTTTTCAACGATCTTGTTCTATGCATTGGTAAAAGAACAAAGACGATTGACACGTTCATTGCGTTTTTGAAAAGAAAAAAATAGCATTTTCACTGACGACAACGACGTATCTTCTTCCGATTGACCAAGTTTAGCTTTTCCTATGGATCGGATAAAGAAGAGAAGAATGTTAGGAACGATGAGTGCTCTTGCCCTTTTCGTTTCCGTCAAAGACTTCCCTTTAATTTCTAGTGCATCCAATATAGAATGTCCAACTGAACGGGATTGAGTATGGTTGGAAGGAGGGTGCCAACGAAGCTCCATAGCAATCGTTTCATCGAAAGTCCGTAACTTTAGACTCGACATGGGTGCAAACGTGGGAAAAAGGATCGATGGTATTTCATTATTGCGAGAAAGATAAAAGAAGAAAGAGAGGGTGTAACTTTAGATAAGGCCACGCCAACTTCTCCTTTTTCCAATCGTGTTTCACACAATTTTTTTCTTCTTTGTTTTTTCAACTAGATAGATAGATAGGTAGAGAAATGTGAGATGCAACGAGGAAAGGCGTACCTTCGACAATAATGACAAGAAAACGTGAAATGAAAGTGAAGTGGAAACGAGACGGCAGCGAAGTATAATTTCGAGATAAATCTTGTGCGACTCGTTTCCCTTGAAAATTTCGACAACCCTTCGGGCAGGATCGAGTCCAAACGAGGCAACGCGCAGGGATAATAACGCGAAGTAGTTCGCATAATTTCGTGATAAATCGTCTTTCAGAGACTTCCAAAGCCACACTCGTTTCCTTCCTGTATTCCACGTTTACACGACGAGCGTCGTCTCTATACGACTTCCTTTTCATCGACCATAACAATGGCGATACTGCGATTACTCTTTTAGTCCCCAATCACCTACAACTACATCCACCGTTTCTCTTTTTTGTTATTTTTGTTGTCTCCCTTTCTTCCATCTCATTGAACGATTTGATTGTTCTACTCAAAATAAAGTAACAATCGTCTAGCCATTTATTTTTAGACAATATTTTAAGTATTTTTTAGGTATTAAAAATTATATAATTATATCCAAATTGCATGATTAATTCGTTATATTAAGACACGATAAACGAACTGGACAAGACTGAAAGGAAGATTCAACAAAGTTACGACGAGGTTGTGCGAGTAAATGAGTTCGCTAGGGTCGGACGAAAGCAGAAGCAGCTTAAGTAAACATTTTTACGTTATTATGAGGATCCGAGAGTGGATATTAAGTAAACGCCTGGCAGCGTTGAGAAATCGCTGTAGAGTAACCGAATCGCCTCGTTCTTACTCTAAACCTCTCCCCCATCCTTTCTTCCAACTAGTCGGGGATCGAAAATTCAACCCCCAGCCCTCCCTCCCTCCTCCTTCTCTTCCACTTTCGACATCGAGTTAATCGCGAGATTGAACGGACGTCTTGTTCGATGCTCGAGCGGTTAATCGCGATTTTCAAGAACACGCGGAACCACCGCCATCGATGCAAGGGGAATGGCTGCTGTATAAAACATTATACTTAGCATTTCGATAAAGCCAGTGAACCCGAACGATTCATTCTTCTTTTTGCCGTCTTTCTTCATTCACGAGAATGGATCGTTCGCTACGATAACCGTATATCATCGGCTAATCCGAGAACGGCGCGTTTGAACATCGTAAAATAGAGAAAGGAGAGAGAGAGAGAGAGAGAGAGAGAGAGAGAGAGAAAGTGAGAGATATTGAAACGAGAAAAGAATTTCTCATCTTTTACACTCGGTCAGACGCATATTTCCTTTTTCTCAAACCGAAAGGACTTTGATCCTCGTGATATCTCTCGTAAGAACCTCGTAGAAACATCCTTCTTCATCTATATAATATTAGAGCAATAACGGAATGATCCGTTGAAGCAGGGACATTTGAATAACTGAATTCTTTCTAGAATACGAATAAAGTCTTAGAGTAAAGGGGAAACTGATTTTCTATCGTTAAGTTAGATTCTTCCCGGTTATTGGATATGAAAATGGGATAAACGGTAACGTGTTTGTTTTGCGAAAGAAAAATATTGATTTTTCGTTTGAAAAATGGGGGAAAGCATTGATGTCCGATAAAAAGTACGCGTAGGAACGTACTATACTCGTATTGGTATACTCGTAGGTAAAATACGTATATTACGAACAGATTAATCTATAGATTATATAATTCTACGCAAAGCATTAGTGAGTTAACAATTGAAATAAAAAGATGAAAAAAAAATTAAGAGGATTGTTGGGGATCTCGAGGGATGAGAAGCAAACGCGATAGGCAGGTGTCACGCCATCGAGTTACCCCCTGGCGCGACGATCGCACAGATTACGATAGTCTCGTGCACGAGTTTGTCTCGGGGGTGCTTACCCCTTCTACAGTTTACCCTCCCGCAACTAACGGACTCGGGGGGGAAGGGGCCTACGTTGACACTGCATCACGAAGCACTAACCGCGTTATTTATGTTGCCTCGTAAAACTTGTGGCGTGCCTAAACACACTATTCTTTACCGATTCTCTCGAGCATGCCCCTCCTTTTTCCTACAGATCGGTCGGACGCGTATACGTGCTCCGGCAAATTGCGCCTTGCGCCTCGACCTATGCGAGGGGGCGCGGGGAGGAGCAGATACCCAGGAGGCAATAGGAAACAGGGCGTCGCTTTTTTACTCGAACGTTTTTCAACGATCGTCCTCGACCGAGATTAGACTAATTGCGAACGGACCAATCACCATGATTTTGCGTGAACCTACCTTAGATTTATGCGATATATTTGTAAAAAGGAAAATATGAATATTTCAAACAACGAAGCTACGTATGCTTAATAAATTGTAATGTATGTATTCCAGGTATAATCTGTTCATTTCCCACATGTACTAACTCGATCCGTTTATTGAGACATTTCCGATGTAGCATTGATTGGTATGTAAATACATCGATTCGAGTGCTGAATGAATCCGCGATTACATTTCTATCCACGCATAATGTACGTTCTTGTAACGTGTTTACATTGCATCTACATATATTCGCAGAACGAGTCTCGGATTAAGGGACTGTTCAACGAAAATGATGCCAAGATAGAATTTACTTGCACAGTTCGCATCTAAGTTCGTACGAACTATCGTTACTTTTTATATATTTTAAATTTCGACTTTTTACAAAAATATACCGTGTTTAAAATATAACGAACATTTGAAAATCATTTGTTGACGAAAACAAAATTTGCTTTCAGTTACCGTATTCTATGGAGTTAGATTACGACGTGGTGAGAGTAGCGGGTGCAGCTTCGGGTAAAATGGCTTTACTATCTCCGAGGGTGAACGTGTCGGCCAAAGGCGAGGTCCCCACCGTCCTACAAGTCTTCAGGATCAGACTTCCTTGTTCCGGTCTCGTTAGTGCCGAAATTCCTTTGGCCCTCAGGCTGAACGTCACCGCTCCTCCTGGTACCAAGTACAACGACACCATACTCGTCTTCAAGAGGAACAAAATCTGTTTGAAAGGTGAGTCGGATCATTAAGAACCATTTTACAATATATAATAAATAGCGAGTACCCATAGAATTGACATATCCATATATACCTAATTTGTATATGATATTTATAATATACGAGACGATACAACATTATCTAAATTAGTCCAACTATAGTCCCGAATGTTCGGCAAATATTTTACCCGTTGAAATAGTCATTTTCGCTTTTGCTTTCGCTAGTGTTTCCGTTATTTTCCAAATGCAAACGACTCGTGGCGCGTTTCGTGCGTTCAACGGACGAGCTTTCACGCAAAGTACCTTTGTCTCTAGCGTATACGTGTGCCACTCGATAATTACTTCGTTTATGTAATCGCGAATTTAATTAGCGTGCTGCTGGACGAGTTCACGGAATGCCTTCGTTACGGAATTTCGAATGTGTCACGTTAAAAACACACGCCGATGTGCCTCGTCTCGCACACGCAACGCCTCTATACCACACATACACAACATACAAACATGGACAGGAACCATCCCTTTTAAACGCTCAAACTCTATACGTGCGATTTACGACCCTTTGTGTAGCCTGCGGCCACCGACAATGGCGATACATGATTTATCAAACAAGAATTTCGTACATACGTACGTACACTCGCTTGCCGCTCGTAGGGATACACCTAGGGACTCTCGTAGGGACTCTCGTAGGGACGTTCACGGAGGCATACAAGCTCAATGCTCAGCTTCGATGCTTTTCCCGCTTTGTTCGTGCCGATTAAACTCGTTACACGGATGACCGAGCTCCTAAAAATATCATTTTACTCAGCAAAGTTATTTCATTTGCAATATTCTCACGTTATTTTATATATATATATCATATTTCGATGTCGAGGAATTCGATACTTTTCTTTTTCATTTTTTATCCCATTATCTACTTTATCTATCTCTTTTTCATTTATTCTACAATACTTGCAATTAAATTGAATAATCAATGTTTATTATTTGCATCAATATATTTAATAAATTACATTTTGGTCATATAGGGTAATTAAATATTAATAGGAATTTTGAAATATACAATATTGTATAATACATTATTACAATTTGTCGTAAATAAGTTTTGAAGAAGACCGAGTATGAAATCGTTTAGAGCACGGCCGAGGGGGAAACGATCTCGAACTATTGTAAGTGAAACAAACCATGAAAATTTGTAAATCCCCCTAACCCCTAAACATAGCCAACTGAAGCATATTTTATATAGATTGACCGAAACCTTCTGGAAATCCTATACAATGCCTGAAACAAATCTGCAATATAATATATATGTTTATACGTTTATAATTTAACGAGCATTAAATTATGTACAATTCAGGTAAATCCTGGAAACTCTAGGTTTTACCTCAAATAACAAGGAATTTTTGGGAAAGCATATAAAAGGAATTTGATTATACACCAAAATAGATAGTTTGAGAAAATAATGAGGTTATATATGAATTCACAAAAGGCAAATATATATATATATATATAAACGACAAACGCGACAAACCCCGGCACAATCATCGATCTCTGTTGGCAAAAACACGCAAGCAACGGTACGATCTCTTTTCCTGTTCCGTCGATACGACTGATATATTTTTCGCGAAAAAATTAATGGTCTCAGGTACGGTGATGGATGCAACTCGACGCGTGACACATAAATTTCAACCTCGGCTGTCAATGAAACGTCGGTTCACTGGTACGAAAATCGAAGAGTATGAGTCGTAGACTTCGTCGCATTCAGTTCAACCAATACTATACTATTTTATTATATTTTCCTTTCGTTTCTTTCCTTCTTATTATTTCATTACATTTTGTTCTCCCTATTTTTCAAATATTCTCATCCACGATAGAAACGTGCACGTGTTTACCATATCGGACTACCGAAAGATGAAAGAAAAATGATGACATACGTCATAAGAAACGATAGGAAGGATTTCCATGAAAGAAAAGGGCTGAGGGGAGAATAATAAGAAAAAAAAAAAAAAACAGATCGGCAAACGAGAATTCAGATCCAGTTACCGAATGAAGCGAAGCAAAGTTACAACGGAAAGCAATTCGCCCAAGAAAATTCGATCTCGAGGAACGGGGATCGGTGTATTTAATAAAGAGAAAGAGGGGAGGAGAAAGGTCAGGGTATATAGTCCTTGAACAAGGACAGAAAAGTGTGGGGGGGGAGGGGGGATATTTGAAGAGAGAAAACCTCATCGATATATATTTGTCTTATTTTTCCGAGGTAACGCGCGAAAAGCAGAAAGATATTCTCCTTTGTCGATCCCCAATACGGAATCACGACTTCCTCTTTTTTTTCTTTCTTTTTCTCTCGGACGAAGGACCGAAGGGCGAAGGAAAGGGAGGTCGAAGGGCGTCGTCGCGTTCGTTGCTATCGAAGATATCCTGCGGCAATCCGAACTGAAGCCTCGAGACCACTCGAAAGTAAACGAGTCTCGTACTGAAAGAGAAAGCGAAAGAGAGTGAGAGAGACAGAAAGTAGTGGGAATCCTCGATGGGTTGTGGTAGCTCATCTCTTTTCTTCTCCTCTCTTCCCTGCTGATCGAACAAGAACAGATTTGTAGTTTTATCGTTTTATACAAAAAAGAAAAGGTGTCTTTTTATTTTTTATTATTTTCCCTTGTCAACATAAAACGATATCCAAATTTCTATTTTATTGTAATTATTCTATTTTCAATTCGTGACATCAAACGTATTTCAATTATTAAACGATCTTATTCATTTTCTATATTGCGTGTCGAAAAGTCGTTTACTTGCAGATGGAAGACTATGACAATGAAGAAGAAAGAGACTTTTCTTTTTATATATTAATTGGTAATAAGAAGTATTCGTGTGGGAATCTCGCAAGAATTAAATTCGTGGTTTAGGAGAAGGACGATTTTGGCTCGAATCTTGGATAGTAATTCAGTTGAAAGGCCATACCATTAATTCCAAAGAGACTTCATTTTGTGTTACCCTAAATCTCGTTTAATGTCTGTTTGATACTACCTAATAACACCTTACTCCAAAATTTGATTAAAAGGCCTAGCTCAGCTTTCAATGATTTTTCTTGTTCTACTTGTGAAAAACTTATTCCTTTGTGAAATTTCAGAACGAGATACGGGCAAGTTTAAACATTTTCCAAGGATTTCAGATATTATCTTTTAATGATCGTTAATTGAATTTAATGTTCTTTTACATAGTTATTTATTTAATTATTATTAATAGTAACACGTGTATCTCCGTACGTAAAAAAGTAGGCAAATGTTTTATCTATTATATTAAAGCCAAGGTAGATAAAGAAACCGCGATAAATATAAGATGTAAAATGAGGCTCGAGGTTTTCATTAAGGATAAAATTACGCTCGTAGTGTATTTCATTTCTCGCGTGATTCAAATTCTCTCTACGAGAAAAGAATGTCATTTCCATTCGACTTTTTAAAACAGAACAAATGTTAAATATCTTTCTTTCTTTTTCTTCTTCTTTTTCAACTGTAACTGTAACCATATTTATTCATTTTGATACGCAACCACAGGGAAATGACTTTTGCTTTTTTCCTTCATTGGTGCGGAAAGGTCTAGATTTATAAAGTAACTCGAAGTATATATTACACCAGAAGGTTGGAACATTAAACGAAAATTTCTGTGAACAAGAAAAAATGATTCCTCTTCTCAAAGAGAAAGAGAGAGAGAAAAAGATCCGTGGCTTCGTCCAAGAAACTAATCTTGCCGTCTTGATTCTTCGTTTTCTTCGAAGAAAAAAATGTCTTCGTAGAGAATCTAATAAATTAAAGATAAGAAGATAAATGCTTGTGAAAGTACATAATATTATGATGAAGAAAAAACGAGATCTGACGTAAAAAGCATGAAAATAATATTAAAAAGAAAAAGAATTAAGAAGACAATTGTTTAGGAATGTTGGATCGATTTTGGGGGTGGCTGTAGGCGGTAAAAAAAAGAACTAAAAAAACTCGTCATTTGGCTGTTCGGGCTTCGTGAGATGAGATCAAAGAGATCTCTTTGAGTACTTTCCATGGTTCGTCGAAGCTGCTGCTAGCCCGTTGGCTTTGGATGGACATGGGTCGTGATACGTCCTACGTATAAACGTACATATGTATGTACATACGTGTGTTATATGTTAGAATGGTGTGTGTTATCGATCGGCGAACGGTTGATGGAGAGGGGGGAAGGTAGGGGAGGTGAAGAAACGAACGGAAACTGCTTCTACGTTGAAATCGAGGCGACTCTTTCGATTGAAGGGACTCGCCGTCCGATCTATCGACGAAGTTTCGATCGTCGAGAAATCCGTCCCGTCGAAATCATTTCCTCGATTTAATAACGTTTTCACGCTTTTCTCTACGTACTTTCTATTTGACCGATAATAAAAGCCTGTCACTGACAAAGAAAACGCAAATTTCTTTTTTTCCATTTTTGGTTTTTCTTTTTTTTCTAACTTCAACGATTTTATTTTTAACGACGCGTCGTTCGGAATAACTTTTGTAATAATTTCCATTTGTCGTTAATTCTTTGTCGAAACGAACTAACGTATTAAAAGTAGAATAATAATTTTGTGACGATAAAATGAATGAGGGAAAACCTTTTTTGCAAGATAATAATATCTTTATTCTGCACGAATTGTTTTGTAATAAAGTTATGTATATTATCTAGAAAAATACTTGGTCGTATATTTGTTTCCTTTTTTTGTTAATTATAAAATATATCCTTTCAATTTTTATAATATATGAATATTTTTAATTTGATTGGACGAGTTAATTTTTCTTTCTACTCTCTCGTGACATTATTATTAAAAAAAAAAAAAGGGTAGCTAATAAATTTGCATGAAAACAGAATAATTTATAGCAATGTTAAAATCCTGTTTACACGATATCATTATCTCAGAGAGAAATATAATAAATATAATAATATGAAATTCGATATATAATGCATCGGAGAGCAAATTGGACTCGATAACGAAGCATGCGTGAGCCAATGAATTGGAAGAACTCGTTGATCGCGTAAAAAGCATCGTTGCTAGCGCTTCTGCAGTATGACGAATTTTGGGATATAAATGAGGAATGAGGACTTAACGAAATGGAAATGAAATTATTAATATGATACATCGCTTGTGAAATATCATATGGAAAAACATGCGAGCATGTAAAATCGTTCCTTGTATATAATATACATAATTATGTATTGGTAGGTATATACAAAAATAAGAAAAATCTTTGGCAATTGTTTTACATAAATATTGTTAACCTTTTTATAGTATAAAGGTAAAAAAAACTTAATATTAATGTTTTAAACAAGACGATTAAATGAACCGATTCGAGAATCGAATCTTTATTCATGAAATACGATTGGATTCCACGAAACCATAAAGAAGATTTACGAGGATACTCAAAATTGGTGATATTTTTTTAGGAGTCGAGACCCCCCCTCGTAACGAGTCGGTACGTTTGGAGCCTGGTCCTTTGGTGAACGGTGCTGGTGCACTCTACGTTGCTGCCACTTGTGCCTGTGCTTTGATACTAGTCGTCGGCAGTGTCGCCAGTGCTTTGTACATTCGCAATAGCAAAGCTAGAGTCCAGGAATCACAGTAAGTGTTTCTGCACAACTTTTCTTTCCTTTTTTCGATCAAGAAGAAGAACATATAAAATTATTCGCTGTTAATCTATCGCGATGGGTTTAAATTACTCTCTATATATGTAAAAAAGGAGTTTTAACAGCATGAATTTCAATTTAATTTGTTATTCAAATAAGAAGAGGAAAAATTGCTAACGCAGTCTCACGAGCTCGTTTTCTCTTCCACGAGAAGTAAAAAAGTAAAAAAAAAAAAAAGCTCGAAAGAGGTAGTGCTCGATTGAGGGTAGAAAAGGAAGGAAGTAGGATCTTTGCTTGAACCCTGCGAGAAATTCGTCGGATAAGCTGGATAGAAAACTCGTCCGAATGAAATATCCTTTCAATAAGACCCGGTGATCTGTCGGTCGCTTGGCACGCCATCCGACATTTTATTGCACGACTATTCCAATCGGTTCCTTGGGATCTGCCTGTTCTCCCACGGCTTCAGCAAGACGAAAGATAAAGTAAGAAGCACGTTTTTTCTTCCCCCTTCCCGCCCCATTTCGAGACTTAAATCTTTTCACGTTTTTACACGAGTAGCTCGTGTCTGTCCCTTTAGAATTGATCCGCCTTATACTTTCATTTTGCGAACAACAATCAGATCCCTCTCCCCCCATACACTCCCTCTATTGCAGTAACGTTTCCTTCGGAAAAAATAAAACGACAAAAAGAAAAAAAGAAACAGAGAAAAAAACCACCTTCTTTCCCTAATACCGTATGAAGTAAAACGCGACACGATTATCGTTCTTCATTAGAGCAACATCAAATATTAAAGCACGTGATTATATCCATACGTAGAGGATATAAGATGAGCTGCGACAAGGGCAGAGGGATGATGTGGGTTTGGAAGGGGCTAAAATTCCTGGAAGGTTTTCTCTTCCTATCTTTCCGTTAACGGTGGAGACGCGGGCCAATTGTCTCCCTCGAGATATATTAGCTCTTTTGAGGTTCTCCGCCCTGATAACGCGCGGGAAAACGGAGCTCCGGGCTTTCCTTCTCTCTCTCTCTCTCTCACTCTCTTTTCCTCTCTCGACACAGGAACATTTTCCCTTCTCGGCCAGAAAGGGAGAAGATACAGATTTTACATTCGTTCGCTTGAGAGAACACAGTCGGTTCCCCCGTCTGTTCCCCGCTACCAACCCTCATCCTACCTACATCTTCCTACATTTCCTTGATCCTTCTTCGTTCTTGCGTCGAACTCGATGCACAAAAGGCGTTCCTGCGATTCGACTCTCGGGACTGGAGAGTGGAGATGGTAAAGTGGGTAGGGGATGTTAAAGTGATGCACGAAAGAGACGACGAGAAGTGTGGAACTTTCCTCGAAGAGTTGAATTTCCTCGAGCTATTCTACTTACCCGTTCCAACGTTTTAACGCGTTAATATACATGCTCCAAGTAGGAATGTGTCGTCGAAGGTACGATAAAGTTTTATAATAAAACAAAATAGAATAGAAATAATGGATCTTGTAAGAAATAGAGAGAAAGAAAATGAGAAAAAGAGAGAGAGAGAGAGAGAGAGAGAGAGAGAAAGGGACATTTTATTATTATTTCAAAAGAGCTCCGTCTCGAAAGACTTCCACGAGTTTAGAAATTTATTTTTGCTCGGCTCGTTGATATGTACCATAGACGATCTCGTACCAAATACCTGATGCTATATCTCTCGTTCTTTATTTATCTCTCTCTCTCTCTCTTTCTCTCTCATTTTATCGTTTTACTAATTTATGATCGGAGGATATACTAGTTCAAGAGAGAAATTCGGATGCAATGCGACCCCCGATACACCTACTCTTTTATCTCTCAAAAAGTCTGCGAAATGTGTGTTTGGAAAGAAGAAGACAACAAAATGAATAGGAAAAGAGAAAGAGAAAATTCTAGTTGTCAGTATTCCAGTTATCTCGAATGTCGCTGACGAAACACGATTCTCTCTTTCTCTCTCTGTTGGTTGTTTTCCTTTTTCTTTTTTATTTTTGCTCACTCGACTTTTCGGTAAATTGTACCGGCAGATTTACATACACGAAACGGGCAATAAATCCATGAAAAATATCGACGGTTCTGTATCGAATCAGAGTGAGAGAGAGAAAGAGAGAGAGATAAAGAAAAAAACTATCCTATCCAACGATGTTCTACGTTTCGATCTGAACCCACACTCCCCATCCCCCACCAGCTACCCCACCTACCCGCTATCTCTTTTTTTTGCTTTTTATCTCTCCTCGTACGGCATATCGTGTATCTTGTCAGCCATCGAGGTCCTTTAATAACAAACTATCGAGGGTGGAAAAGCAAAGCCACCCTTTTACAGAACGCGTTATACCATGGACTATGAACGAATTTCACACGTCACATTCCAATCTAAAATTTGTTTGATGAAAAAAAACGGGGGAGGAGGAGGAGGAGGAGAAGAAGGAAAAAGAGGCAGGGAAATCTTTTTTATTCACGGTCACACGGTAATCCGACAGTTCTAGTGATAAGATACGCAGAAACGTTTGTGAACCATTGAACGGTGCAAATCTGTATATTCAGCTCTATTTCGTGGAATACGAGTTTTGTCTCTATTATTATTCATCTATATATCCATGTTGTATCTCCACGTATCTTTGATCAATGTATATACGTACAAGGATTATCGTTTTATAATAGACCGATGCGACGTTTCTCATCAAAGCGCTAAACGTACGAATAAATACCCTATGAATGTAGATGGATATTTGTACTTTTATATTTTGCGTTTAATAGAAAAAAGTTCCATCAAATAATTGAAATTGTTGCTATTCCCAATATTCATAACAGTTTCAACATTAAGAAAAAGCTTAAAGTTAGTTTGCACAAATTTGCAAGAACACGTACGTATAATGGATATACTCGTCTAATTAGAGAAATTCGTATACATACGCACGTATTGAATAGTTTCAAAAGTTATAACAATGCAAACTTGTACAATATGTTATTCAATATTATCTCTGTACTTCTTGATGCGTATACAAAATATATATAGTAGATGTTGCTGACAATCGTTAACTGCGAGTGATAACGAATATTCTGTTTTTTCATTAAAATAACGAAGCTTTGTTTATCGATATTTCAATCTGCGTGTAAAGCGTGAAAATATTCGTTACCAACGATTCTAAACTTTTACCGATTTGTACAAAATCGAAATATTTCGTAAAAGTATTTTTATGTAGGAAACAAAAATAATTCGAACGTATGAATCGTTAAAAAAATATTTCCTTTAAACAGAAATAAATATACATTTTTATGAATCTTACGAGATGCGAAATGAAAATTTCTAATAAAACGACTAGCGTGTGCTTTTATAAAATTAAACTGATTATCTTCGTTCGATGTGGCATCATTATTTTCTATCGATTTGACGAATCAATGTTGAGAACACGTTTACAAGTTATCGTATCGAAACAACATTCGAATGTTTGAATTTGTACAATCCCTATCCGAGTCCGATTTTGTCCACATTGAATAAAAGACGATGGAATGGATGAACAGAGAAGATCGAAAGGATGCGGGAATATCGAATCCGTACGATATTATCCGACCAAATAATTCGATCCTAGGAGAATATTATCTTTCGACGTAGCATCGATACTTGCCGAAAGAGAGTGAACGAGGGAAAGAGATAGACAGTGGGGCGAAGGGGTGGAGGGATGAAGAAAAGATCCAAAACGCTGGAGGTGCTCGCCCGGGAGGAAATGTAAATCTAACGAGATAGAGAGAACCAAAAGGAACTCTCCACGTCGAACGTAATTCCTTGTTGAAGATTATATAAAGACAGGCGGATAGACTACTACTTCCGCTTTCAGAGTTTGCCTTCTATCTCTCCTTTTCTCGAAAGAGAAAACCAAGCTCCATTTCTCCCTATCGCGCTCGCGGGTTCGACATTCGTTATGGCTTTTTCCCTTTTAACTTCGTTTACCTCGACGTTGCCGGGACGATGCTACTCGGTAACTAGCACTCCAGGAAAGTGCATATTCCACGCATTCGAACCTGATTTCCTCTTCTTCTTCTTTTTTTACTTGTCTCTCCCTTCTATTTTTTTTCTTTTTAGTTTTATTTCAAAGTTCTCGTATAGAAGTACACAGAGAATGATGATGGGTCACTTGAAACTGTAACATTTTTATTTCTTTGCGATCGTTCAGAATATATACGTATAGCAAATAGAATTTTATTTCCCCCCTAAATGGATTAAATTGCTATGAAAAATTACTTGTCAGCATAAGTGAGTACCAACATAGCGCCACAAAAAAAATTGAAAATCGTATATACGTAACCCGCGGGAATTCAAAATTCGCGATACTTTTTGAACAGACCTCGTATTTATTTGCTAATTTTCAAGATAGATAGATAGATTTCGATTGACTTTAGAGTGAAATAAGGAAGGAAGGAAGTAAAAAAAGTCATTGTAAAGTTAGTAAAAATCTCGGGAAGGCGATTAGACGTCTCCGCAATGGCGGAGACGAACGATTAACTCGGGGGTGCCGTCTAATCCTTTCAGGAAAACTCTTCCTTGCTGCAGCTATTCGGCAGCTGACACCGACGGACTTGCCAGAAGTTCGGTATTGGTCAGAGTCGACCCACGGCCCGGAAGCGCGAATTCCGGAAGTTACGCGACCATCGCTGACCTGGAACCGCTTTATGCTAGGCCTTGTGGATCCAGAGCGAGCTACTATGCTGCTAATCACGTCACGCATCTCAGTCAGGTATGAACAAAAATAAAATATATTTTTTTTCTTTTCTTTTCTTTATCCTTTTCCAATTATCGTATTTATCCGATTTATGAAAGTTATTAGTTAATAAAAGGAAATACCCGATGACCGATTTCAACAATTTAAACGTTAAAAAAAAGAAAATGAGAGAAAGAGAATTGCAAATTCTTTCGAGAGACAAATCGCAAAAAAAGGGTAAATATCTTTTTCCGTTGATTCGTCGCAATTTTTAGAGAGAAAACGTCTCCTTCGTCGTCCTACCCTGGCGCATTTTTTTTTCCTATTCGAATTACGTTTCGTTTCGTTTCGTTTCGTTTCGTTTCGTCTCGTCTTGTCTCTTTTCTCGTATACAGAAGAAAATCCACGTTCAAAAGTTTATCGAGTTCGCAGACGAGCGAGCGAGCGAGTGAGCAAGCAAGCCGCTTGCCAGGGTGAACTTTTCCCGCACAGATCCTTCCCACCTCTTCGAGCCCTTTATTCAACTATTTCAAAGCGAGCATATAGGTACGAGTCCCGAACGAGATTCGGCCCTTGTCGGCTCGAAAAGATATCTACGTGCGTACTCTTTTTCCTATGCTTCTTTTTTTCTTTCTTTTCTTTTTCTCTCTCTCTCTTCTTTTTTTTTTTTTTCTTTCTTTTCTTTACTTTTCTTCTTATTTATCTTTTATTTCCCTCTTTTCCATCTCTCTCTCTCTCTTTCACGTTATCCCTCTTTGTCCCATCGAAAATTCCAATTCTCTAGACTCTGCCGTCTCACGCCATTCCTCGGACTCGTGTGAGTGGATAAAAGACGACAGGGTGAGATAAGACAACTTCTCGTGAAAATTAATATTAAAGAACGTTGGTAGTTGGAAAAGGGCGAGATGGAAGAAACTCACGCAAGATGCTCGAGTTATCATAATATCGTTCTTATCCTTTGAGAGAAGATTTTCTTCGTGTTTCTACGGTAATATAACATTGATGAAAAAAAGAAAAAAAAACAAACATGTTATTAGATTAGAATGAATAATAACAATAACACGATCGTACCATTATTATGGTCATTTATTAAACATTCTGATATGGAATATAGTTTTGAAAATCAAAAAACAATCGAGGGAGAAAAAATCTTTTGGTAAGGGTAGTAAATTAAGATTGTGTTCGTTAAAGAGACAAAAAACTGGACGAAGAAGGAAATGATTTATACCGAAAAAAGATCAAATAAATACGATGGAAACGAGCAGCGTTTTACGTTTAATTTTGTCGGAAAGAAGAGGGTGCCGAAAGTTGGGAAAATAACGAAGGGGGAGTAGAGGCGAAAGCAGGAAGATTACACACACGGTTACCTTGCTTCTCTCTTCTTTTCTCTTTCTCTCTCCTCGTTAAAGCGCTCCAAACTGTTTTGGAAGAAGAAGGGAAAAAGGAAGAGGTGGTGGGTGGAAGAAGAGGACGGAGGGGTGGAAAAGGAAAGGCAAAGGGTGGCTGAAAGTGGGTCCTGTGATTGTTTCGGCTTTGATCTTGGATCAATTTACCCGGGTAGCGTAGCTCTTCTACGTGATTGTGTGCACGAACGTCTCCTCGTCCCTACACAGCACGTTCTCCGAAAAGCAACCTCCTCCTCTCTACGTACACATTTACAATTTGCATGCAAGAGTAAGAGCAGTTATATACTCGCTTGCTTGTGCGGTCGTAAGAGAAGCAACTCTCCCTTTCTTCTCGTCTTCAATGCGTCTTAGTTCTCTTTCTCTCTCTCCTTATATATCTATACCCTTGTAGCATCGATAAAACGATACACTTGAGACAGTATATTCTCTGACCTGTCTCTAAAGTACGATCGTTTTAGGAACCACGACATCTGACTATCTCCTGAAATAAATGTTTTCACTGTAGTACGCGATTCTTCGTCAAAAATTCATGCAAGTATGTATTTTTATTCGCAAATTAATATACGAAAATCTACAAAAATAATTGACTAAACAATCGTACTCTATCGAATTTTTCATTCGTATCTAGTAATCTTACGGGCAATATATTTCATAGATTGTCGACCGGTCATTCTATAAAATGTTCAAAGGGTTTCAGTCAATGTAGAAAATTTGATTCAGTTTAATGAGCTTAGAGCAAGGAAGGAAAAACTTTTTTCGGGCATTCTATCTCAATGTTTGTAACGTCGATTCTCAGATTGAATTAAATTTTTATTATACTTCGATTTCGCAATTTCTTTTCAATTTTATTTCTCGTTGTTTCAAGCTCGATGAAGGACACACCATTAATCGAGTCAATTTGAGTCCGTATCGTCAATTTATTTCACGCTTTGAGATTCGACCAAGAGAACAAAATCGTGTGCGCGCGTGTGTGTGTCTGTGTGTGTGTGTGTCAAAAAAAGAAAAAAAAAGAGAGAGAGAGACAAAAAATGCACTCATGTTTCCTGAAGATGAAGCTTTTAAAACGCTTACGGCCTGTATGACTAGGACGAAATTTGACGAAAGCCACTCGATAAATAAATCAAACTTTTGCCTCGTGCATACACGGACCAACGGAAAAAGGTTGCCTGCAGCTATATCGAGGAATCGATAGCGAGATATCGTAATAGAACAAAAGGATAGAAATTCCACTTCCCTTTCTCTCTCTCCCTCTCTCTCTATCTCTCTCTAGTCCCTAGTAAATGTATCTACTTTTGTTTTATTCCAACTGAAAAATACATTTTGTCTCTCGTTCTCGTTTAACGATAATCAATGTTTCTTATTCATTTTTATTTCTTTCCCCCCCATTTTATTTTCTTTTTCAATTATTTGGGTTTCGCGTCCTACTCTTCGTGTCGTCGTATTAAAATATTTTCTCTATCTTCTGTCTCTCTCTTTATCTCTCTCCCTTCCTACTACTATTACTACTCCAGTCGACATTTTCCATTATAAGCACTCTCCAACTCGTCGATAGGATTTTCCACAAGCTTTTTGATATTACGTTTGCTACCAGTACGATTTATACGTCACTCGGAAATATTTATTCGTTTTTATGCTGTTATAGTTAATCGGTAGGTAAGGTATTATATTATCAAATAATCGATATTTACAAATGTCAAATAATTAGCATTGGAAATGTTTACGAGGTTTTCATCGCTTTTATCAGTAATTTGTATTGTTCTGATTTTTTTACATCTCTTCGAAAATATAATAGTACCGATTAATATTATGAAGAGGAAAAATTGCTTTAGTAGTCGAACGATAGTAGAGTATCTCTCTCCATTGTATTATCCGGGATGGTAACAAGAAAAAATAGAAAGGAAGAAAGGCAACGTGCTAATGAGGAATGAACCACGACTTTCTTTTGGATGCATGCCTCACAAGAGAGAAGAACAACTTTGTCTATTTTATGCCAGAACAAAGTTTTTCCAAGTATTAATCGCGTTTTCGTGAGTTGTAATTGTAAAAACGTTGAAGAATAACGTGGTAGGAAATAAAAGATGGGGGGGGGAAAAAAAAAGCAGACGACGGGCTCTGTGCTATGAACTGAGCACGGAAATAACAAAGATAGAAATAGGAAAGGGAACTAGAAAACGAGAGAGGGAAAATGAAAGAGAAAGAAAAGAAAAAAAAAAAGGGAAATTCGCGTTAGAGGGAAGAAGCGAAATCGGCCTAGCGTTAAATTTGTCGCGTCGTCGTGCTTTTTCTCCCTTTCCGGAAACAATGCTCGCTTGTTCGCGAATACTCTGTTTCCCTTTTCACCCCTTGCTATAATTACAAGCACCACCAGTCCAATAAGCCATGGAATCAAACGTATTTGCATTTTCGTTCTCGTTGGATGAGACAACCCTCTCGGCGCCTACGAACAACACCCTTTCCTTCTCTCTTTCCCCCATTTCTTTTTAATGCATTCAACAACTCGATTTTGTTCACTTTATACATCATTTGCTTGATATATGTATCTATACCGAGGCCATGTTACGAATCACGTAACTGCTGCACTTTTTCTACAAATGAACAATATAACGTGCTTTTGAAATAACTTTTGTTAAATTTTAATGAAACATAAATGTAACAGTAATGGAATATTTGTTCTACTTTTTATAATTAACATCTCTAGATTTTTCCATTTATTTTCTCGTTTAACTTGTTTATTCGATGAATCTCCGTTTAAGCTGTCTAATTTCTCTCTACAGATATTAAAATTAATTTATTTGTATAATCTCTCTCTCTCTCTCTCTCTTTTTCTCACACATATACACTCTCTCTCTCTCTCACCCTTTCACTTTCTCTCTTTCTCGCCTTTTTTGAATTGAATACATTCTATCCAGTAACTTCTCTCTCTCCCTCTCTCTGCACTCGGACGAGATAACACGTTTGGAATCGCTTTTCCGCCGCTTTTCCTCCTTTTATTTTACCGCTACCCTTCTCATTCTCTACGTACTATGTACGTGTATATCTATACATCAACATGTACCTACGTATATAGATATATAGATGTACATATATAGAATGAGTTGACGTGTTAGCGTACGTATAGCATGAACCGGAGGCAAAACTCCGGAAAATTGAAATTAATGAATAGTTCGCCCTCATACCGTGCCACGTCGGCTTTCATCGTTACGTTTCGCAACAGGGACCGATGGAAATTCGTTTAAGAACAAAGGGATCACACGTCCGACAACGCACTGACGAAATGTCGCAAGATTTCTTCTACAACTTCTACTCGTTTTTTTTCATCCTTTTATTATCCACGAAATATCGTCAAACGTGTTTTCATTTAAACTGCATATGTTATTATATTTTTTTTCATTCGACTAGCATTCTTTTTCAAGACAGGTGTCCATTATTTTTCTCGTTAATTCTTTAAACTGTTTTCTACTACAATTATTTAATTAATACATAAATAATTTGTTTGACTTGATAAATCGTTCGATATACAACTCCCAATACACTTTTCAGTCAACGGATCCCTGCGAAAAGGCAAGAGCACTTTCGGTACCGAGATCGGCACTTTATTGTCGTAATCTCGTACAGGAAGGAACCTTTGGACGCGTGTACAGAGGAACTTTGGACATGGGTGATCGAGAACAAGAAGTAATCATCAAGACGGTGACAGGTAAGGATACCTTTGAATTCATTCAAATCATTTTCTAAAATATACGTCGAGAGATCTCAGGAAAATTGATAACTTTCTTAGCTGTTCTTACCTACGTCCGATCACGAGTACCTAGTTTCGATAACGTAGGAAATTTCATCTGGTCGTTATCGATCGAGTTTCGTTTAAATTTATTATTCCGATTTCAAAAAGGAATAATTAATATTTGAAATAAATAATAATTCCATATATTGGAAAAATATATGATAACGAATATTATGGATAAAAGTAAAAAGATCGATAATTTTCAGAGGTGGCATCCGCTTATCAGGCATCTTTACTTGTGGTGGAGGGTTCGCAGTTGGCTGGTTTGATTCATGAGAACATAGCTTCCTTGGCGGCAGCTTGCCTTGACAGTTCTTGCCCATTGTTAGCGTACACGAGTACGCAGGGAGAATTGAATCTGAAACTCTACCTTACCGATGGGAGTTACCATCCCGTGACCAGGGATCTGGTGAACGTTGGTGCTCAAGTTGCCAGAGCCGGGGCTTTTCTGCACGGTCGCGGACTTTTGCATAGGTGAGATACGTTCTTGTTTTCTAACACATTCAATATTTTCTATTCACGCGATTTAACAATTTTAAATTACATTTCCGTATTTCAGGGATATCGCTGCCAGAAATTGTTTGATAGAACCGAGTAGCCTTCGAGTTAGATTAGCTGATGCTGCCTTGGCTCGAGATCTCTTTCCTCAGGATTATCATTGTCTTGGAGACAATGAAAACAGACCGATACGTTGGATGGCTTTGGAAAGTCTTCAACACAATCAATATAGCACTGCGACGGACGTGGTACGAGTTTTCATAAATATTATTAAGTCACTTACAGTATTGGCAAACTTTTGCTTTATACTTTTGCTTTATATCCCCTGGGACAAGTTTATCCAACTCTTAATACTAATATCATCGTCTTTCAATCTATCATAGATATAATTTGCATTATTCATCATTCAAATATTAATATATAATCTTTGAAGAGTGCCAATACTGTAGAATTTTAATGAAAATCAATGAACGATAAGTATTTCGTATGGACACCTATATGAAATTGTTTTGTCTCAATCAAGTGGTCCTTTGGCGTATTCCTTTGGGAGTTGGCAACGTTGGGTCAACAACCATACGTTGACGTTGATCCATTCGAAATGATGGCCTGCCTTAGAGATGGATATCGATTGGCTCAACCAAGACCTTGTCCCGACGAGCTCTTCGCCGTTATGGCTGTCTGTTGGCTCGGCCTTACGAGGGATCGACCAACGATGCCACAACTTCTCGCCTATTTGCAGGACTTTCACGACGCTCTAGGTGGTTTCATATAAATCTTCGATCTCTGATTAGAACAGAGAACCCCAATCAAAGACTCTAAATATCGATAATCAAATGTAATATTCCGAAATCAAATCACATGGAATTGAATTTTCCCTGCCAATTTGGGGAATAATGGAATAACCTTTTTTCTTTTTTTTTTTTTATATTCGTCACATATTGATTTTACTTATACTCTCAAAAGATTTGTCTTCTCTCTTTTTCTTTTTACTTATGATTTGTATCTGGTCCAGATAACCGCGCAACAATTATTCTCGCGAATTCGATTTCGCGATCGAAGCACATACGCGCGTGTATGTCCGTCCATGCTTTTTTAAAGGTCTTGTGAGAAGAAAAAATGCAGAAAAAAAGAGAGAGAGAGAGAGAGTGATACGCGCCTGTCGCCCCGCAATACGTCGTCTTCCAAAGTAAGACGCATTTACGATAAAACAAACGATCTCTAATGCGGTAATCATATTTTTCTCTTTCGCTGACAATGCAAATCAAAATCACTGCCTTCTCATTGACGATATTTCTTCGATAGAGAAATAAGAGGAGAAAGGAAAATTAAAATGACCATTTGTTGTTAACAAGATAAGAAAAGAATAATGATAGAAAGAGGAGGAGAAACTTAAGCGAGTCGATGATGAACGAAAATGGCAATTACGACATTGTTAATTAGGACAAGAAATAGATAGGGAGAAAGAGAGAAAGAAGAAAGAGAAAGAGGATGAGGAGGACAGAAGGAGACAGAGAAAGAGAGGAGATATAACCTTTCCTCGTTGATCTTGGCAAATGGCAAGCTTAGAAAAAAAAAAAAGACATCTATCTCTCTTTTTCTCTTGTCACAATTATAAAGACTCTTCGCGGAAGATCGAGTCGGTAAACGCGCGTGTGCTCGTCGTGTAGTCGTTCGATTATTATTCATTAACGATTACGATTGCGAAGTCTTTGATTATCGCAGACTCGAGGACAGAGAGAGAGAGAGAGAGAGAGAGAGAGAGAGAGAGAGAGAGAGAGTGAGAGAAAGAAAGAGAGAGGGAAAGAGAGAGGGAAAGAGAGAGAGAAAGAAGGAAGGAAAGGAAAAGAGAAGGGGCGTGTGACTAGGCGCATGTGAGCGCGAGCAACAGCAGCATACATACATACATATAGGATAAAAGAGGGAAACACGTTTACAGAAGCAAGGCTCGAAGCACACTTAGGAATCCTATTGTCGAATCTGACCTTCGAAAGGCGTACATACAAATACTAACATACAAAGAAAAGAGTGAAAGAGTTAAGCGTGTGCAGAAAGATAGAAACGTGTGTATGGGTTAGGTGCGCACGCGCGCGCCTATACCGACTGGTTACGTAAATGGGCGGTTTGACTATAGGTCTCCTACTCTATGTTATGTAGCTGCTATTAGCTATACCGCGAAAGTCATGTCGAACGTAGAGGTACGTACACACGTCACGCGCGATGAAGCTCGAATTTGCCGACACTGTTGCTGCTGCTGTCTTTCTTCGATAAATTTTGATAAATTTCTAGAAAATGTCGTCTGTCACACCGGTCTCTTCGCTAAAGTCCAATTCGACTGCGACGACTGATTTTAATCACTGCTACTCTAATTCTAAATGTATTCTAATTAGAGCTGGGGACACTTTTCGGCCGATTTTTCCGAACGATCGAAAAATCGAGCCTCCTCGATTCGATACGATTCGATTCAAGTTAAATTGAACGATTAATTATCCTCGTTGTCGAGAACTTTAATCAGACAGGGCGAAATCAAAATCGACTTTTTCTTCGTTGTTGTTTATTATTATTATTATTATTATTATGAATTTTTTGAGATAAGATTCGTCGCATATATTTGTATTTTAATATTAATAATTAATCTTAAAGTCGATTTGCGTGGCGCTAATAAATAAATATTATATCGAATTATTCGAAAAAATCGACCGACGCGAAATAATATTTCGTCGAATATTTACAAAGAACTAAGTATAAAAATGCTGCTGGCTCTATGAATTCTTACTAACTACTCGATGTTTATTAAATGTTTCGCATGTTTCCCGATTACAAAACCATTATATTCCTTATTCCTTTCCCATCCTCTACTCCGGCGCTCTTTCCCATTGTTTTTCCTCGATATTTCCCGATGTGCTCTTTGTAAAAGGAAGAAGAGAGAGAGAGAGAGAGAGAGAGAGAGAAAGAAATAAAGAGAAGAAAAAAGAATGAGTCGGAAGAGTTTTAACTCTCTACTTTCTCGTACATATTATTAAACTATTTAACAACGACAACACGAGTATCTTCGGTCTTTTTCTTTTTGAAAAAAAATAAGAAAGAAAAAAAAGGCAAGCACTTGAATTAAACTCTATTTATAACGAATTTATTGCTCGCTAATGTTTAATAATTGAAAAAATTGAAATATCTGTAAAGAGCGAATACATTAATTTAAGGAAAATCGTCGGTACTTACGGCTAATAGTCTTGTAATCCGATACTCGTATTTCGTGAATGTTGTTTCAATGGAGGAACAGGGTTAGCTATAGGTTGCATACGCATATACGCGTATGCGCGCACATCTTTTTTCGCTATCGATATACGCTGGAAATCGCTTCATTTCCACGACCATTTCAAATCCGATTAATAACGATAACGATGTATCTAATTTTCCCTTGATTCGTGGGAAACACTCGCCATACGAATATCGAATCGTTCGATAGCAGCGAGATAGAAAGAGAGAGAGAGAGAGAGAGAGCGAGAAAGAGAGAGAGAGAGAGAGAGAAGAAGGGTGGACTGATTTCCTCTTTAGTTTTGACTTTTTCATCGTTCCCTTTCTGCCAACCTTTACCTTGACAACAGTCCACCCACATCCAATGATCCCGAATAATACCACGGACTTCTCAAAAGGATTCACTAAAAGATTCCAAACAGTTTCGAGTTCATTGTAAATACCTCTAGCGAATAAAATGATAGTGGTGCGCCGAGTGAGTTGATTTGTGCAGATTCTAAATATTATTTCCTACGACGATTTACGGCATTATTTTTCAATGAAATAAAAAAAAAAAAAAATGCTAAGAAATATACGTGTTGAGAAGAAAGAAAGAAAGAAAAAACAAAAAAAAAAAAAAAACTAATGTCTTCCTTCATCTATCATTACTCCTCCAAACCTTATTTATCATTTTTATCTCTAGGAGCAGAATATATTATTATTAACATCAGTGTGGTTTTGCTACATTTTATAAAAGATCTCATATAATAATAAAAACGCCGAATGCTCGCGTTAATGCTTGGATTATTTCTCAATTTGACGAAAAGATAGAGATAGGAGGAAAGAGAGAGAGAGAGCCGAGCAATCGGGCAATCGGGCAACGAAAATGAAAGTGACGGAGAAAGTTGGAGCATTGTTACGAAGCGTGAAGCTCGGCACTGCGTGTACGCCATGCGACGAGTTACTCCGCCTTTATTTCACCTCAACTTTGAGATCTCGAACTCGTAGACGAGTACCTTTTTTTCGAATCTAATTTAAAATCTCATGCACCTTTTCTTTCCTTTCCTTAATATCTCAATTTCTACGAGCGAACGCAAAAATATATTATTTTTTTTTAAATTTCCATTATTAGATCGTTCGATAAAATGTTGTTGACTTTTTTAAACAATTGAAGGACATACCTAAAAATGTCCTGTATATACATTTTTATTGTAATCGCATATATTTTACGTATACGATATATATATATATATATATATTTTAATTTGTGTCATTAACGATGCTGACTACACACTTCTGTTAAGAAAACGAACGAGAGATCAAAAGAGAAGAAAATTATAAAAGTAAAAAAGTATTGCCTGGATGCTTTGGCACACTCTTCGTCTGTCTCCTTCACGCTTTCACTTATTCTTTTAAAAGCCTCAGACGGAAATTACGAGCGAGACATCCGGCCGAGCCGTGCGCCGACTTTTACGCTATTCGTGAAACGATCACGTTGACTTATCAGGTAAGATTTCATTTATTTTGTCTTTTTTCTGTCTTTTTTTCTTTTTTCATTTTCTTCGAGTATACTTCCTTCTGCACTCCTTTTTTTTTTTTTAAAGTAAAAATAATCTTTTAAAATTGAACTGTAATTATATTATCTAATATGATTATATATTTTACCTTTAAAATTGCTCAAATACAGATTAGTAAATTCAAAATACGAATAATAAAAGATTTTATTATATATATATATCTATGCGAAGACAGCATGTTTGTATAGACAAAACTAAAGAGAGAGAAAGAGTGACGTTGACGAAAGCGATCTTATGTAATTTCAACTCGCGAAACGTTTGTCCTCTATTTGTCCTGTATTTGGATGGTTGCAATCATATTATCGTTGTATTAGCAACATTGAAGAAAAAAACAAAAAAATTCAAAAAATAGAGTCTCGCGTCAGTGATACCCGACTTCGTTGGGATTGCATATAAATTAACGTTTATAGGTTCTTATAATTAATAGCACGTAATAATTTAAGTAATAATGAATATTTATCAAATTTACATATTTTTGTTAGATGGAATTATGAAAAAGATTATAAAAATGGATGATAATAATCCATTTTTATTGCTTTGTGAAAAATTCAGCCAACGAAGAGACGTTCAATCGGATGCAATAGTCTGGTACATATCCGGCAACGATGCTCTTCTCCGTAAAATATCGCCATTGATTTTCCATAAAGGACCGAGGGCGACCCCCTCGTGAGCTAAAAAATATATATTGATATACGTATTTCAAGGGATATCCTATATATATATCGTCGCGTACAAAACTGTACAAATGATCGTATATTTCCTATAAACTATTATTTATCGTTGACAAAATATGGAATCGAATATCTGTCGAATAAAGAAATATAACGAGATATTTAATAGTTTTTCTTTACAATCTGGTCAACGAAAGATACAATTTTAATGTTTCAAGAATTATAATGTAAAAATAAAAGTTTCCAAAAGAAACAAAGCATAATAATTTGAAGATATAGCGTTGCAGGAATATAATAAATATGTAGAAAATAATACACCGATAGATTATCATCGTCAAAAAAAATATAATATACGTATTCTTATTTCCGTTAATTAATTTTATTTGTTAATTATAACATAGGAACAACATGATACTCGGTCGCAGCAGCAATTTTAGTCTAACTATGTAACGCTTGTCACAAAATATTTACTGTGAATCATATAGAAAAATGAGAAGATGAAAGAACGAGGAAGACAATTGTAAAGAACCTGTCGTAAAACATATTGAAATATGGGTATTAGTTTATCGATACCTATTTAAATGGATGTTTCAATTCATCGATCAATAAGATAACATCGATCTTTCCAGTCGATCTAATAGAAGTAAATCGTACCAGCAACTCATTTCCATACCGGTACAAGCATAGACCAAGCTAGAAGTACAACCAATCATCATACTCGTGTGGTTACTTGTAATATACTTATAATATTAATCGATTTTTCTTACTCACTCTTTTATTCTCTCTCTCTATCTCCTTCTCTCTATTTTCTTCATTTTTTCTGTAAATGTTCAATCAGGAAAATGACTCCTAATGAATGTCCATGGTAATACCCACTTCAATACCAATACCCACGCGATAACACGGTAGATCGAAGTTCTATAGCTCGAGTTACGAGTTTTCTTGATAAACATCGCATAAACACGCGTGTCTCGCGTAATAGCGACCGCCTCCATTCGTCTACTTCATAGGACCTCTCTCCTATAATAAAAGGAAGAATTATCATTGACGAGTCCGAGATTTGACGGTCAAAACTTCAAACGTTTTATTAATATATATACTCATGATAATTATACTTGTTAAATAAATTTATATTAGAAAAAGAAAAGTCAACACGCACACGGAGAATAGAAGAAAGTAAGTTTTGATAATATAAGTAATAATATATCTTTTCTTTTGATTGTGTTTGAGAAAAGAACCTTGAACTCTGACGCGTTTAGAAAAGGTGAGATGCTCGCTCTCGTCTCGGAACAGGGAAGCTTTTCTTTTTTAATT